TAACATCTATCATCCCAGCGGAGGAAGCAAAAAGGAGCAAAGTAAAGCACAGATGTGTATGTCATGCTAATAGATATCTTCTTGCACTAGGCAGTTCTGTTCAGTGAAGTTCTTCAGCCAAATAGTAAACTGCTTCACTGTGTCACCCTCAAACCCTCATTTATCCAACTTGTTCACAGATGCTAATGAGCAAGCCTTCACTAAATCCTGAAGACTAATATTTACACAGATCTACTAATCCGGTACCTTCGATACAGGATATGTGCTTACTTGATAATTACTGTTTTTTAGTAACCCCATAGAAGTGTCAGGTGTTCATTGATTCCTTTTCTAAGATATAAAACCTTTGTATATTAAATTATTCTACATCTTTTCAAAAGATGTGCAATGCAGTCCATACGTTTAATTTCTGGAGTCCTCTCCTGTCTTTGAACATTGGAATATTTTGCCACTTGCAGTCTTTTTTATAACTTTGCCATTTTCTGTTTTTCCTCAAATTTTGTCAGCAGTGGCACCATAATTACATTGACAAGGTCTATTTCAGGGAGCTGGTTCATTTAGCTTAGAGACTTGCATTCATTTAAGGCAGCCAGTCTCTTCACCTGTTTTGCATTTTTGTCAGTCATAACAACGTTACTTTTTATCTTTCTGATCTAAAAATCATTCTCGTGAGCTAAAAGATAGAAACAAAATAGAAGTGGAATGGTTCTGTTTCCTCCCAGTCATCTTGGCATGTCATTCTTGCCAGACTAACCTCAACCTTTTCCTGTTTTTGCTCTAGAGTTTAGACACTAATGAAGAGCAAAAACAATAAAATGGTTTATTATTGTCACCCAAAGAGATTTGTTTAATTCTGATCAGAGAATTAGATAGTAAGTATATTCTTCTTGGTGAACCCATAGTAACTATGGGCTTATGTATAAAGAATCCTCATGATGGTCTCTTCCTTTGTTTTGTTCTTCATTGTCAACCATTAATTTTTACTATTAGTGACTTTATATTTCATATAATCAGTGGAGTAGTAAGTGTATTCTGTCACAGGAAATTGAACTTCATGAAATTTATCTTTTCCTTCCTTAGTGACAGTGCTTTGCTATGAAATTAACAAAATTCATGTCTGCCTTTGTATTTCCTGTAGCTCATGTACGTGCCAGATTCCCAGTTCAGCAGCAGATGTCTCCCATGAGCTGCCTTTAGGCTTTACTAAGATCTCTTACTATCTAGGACTGTCACATCTAGCTAATGAGTTGCTCATGTGCTGCTTATTTCTAAGGGACTATTCTGAGTTTTCTTTCATTATATGGTGCTTATAAGGAGTAGAAACTAGAAAAGACTTGAGAGATGATTTTTTTCTTCATAGATGAAGAAAATTAAATGTGATCACCTTGTCTAGGAAGCAAAAACCAAGTTCATTAAATTTTTTAGCGCTATTTCCCTGGAGTGAGAATTTTTAAAGGTGAAGGAAAGTTGGAAATCAATGAATATTCTCATTTTTTTTAAAAGAGAAGGAAATTGAATCCCAAAACAATAATCAATAAAATTCTCTTTGTCATAGATTTAAATGGTAGAACTGAAATTCCAAACAGGTCTCATGATGGATACACTACTACCTGAGTGGCTCTTTTAGAATATTTGTATGCTGAAATTTCCTCGTAGTTTCTCTCCTTTCTACTAAGAATCGTAAATGGTTTCTGATGTGTCATTTACTTTCTTAATGTGTGCTCCATTTTACATTTCTTCCCTTTTAGATGTTGCTTTCAAAATAACTATAAACATTCCACCTTCTTGAACCATGTTTTAAGGATTTATTTCTTCTTAAGTTTTTAAACTTTTTAAGTACTTATTGGAGAGGAACACTGAAAACATGTCAGTAAATAGATATAGCAACTAAGATAAAATTGTCTTTGGGAAACTAAAAATTCTCATGTAAATTAACTCCTTCACTCTCAGATAGTCCAGGGAATTGTTGTATTTTCAATATTTCTTTCTCCTGATGTTTGTGGGTTAATTGTAATGTGTGTGATAAAAATAGAAAACTAAGTTGAAAAACATTCTTACCAAGATGAAATAAATGTAGTACATTTTTTATCTAATAAATAGGTGATTATTGGTCCCATTGTTATCAGTCTAGTCAGCAGATTTTATTACAACTGTACAGTACTGTGCTAGGCACTGGCTGAAATACAGTTGGAATTGAATAGAATCTGTTTCTAAGTCAACACTGGAAAAGAAAATGAAGAAAGAAGTTAAAAAAAAGCAATGGTCTTAACATACTTGTTGAAATTAAGTTGCTATAATGCTGAACCAAATTGATGATCTGATAATAGACCTTTTTTAAAGTTAGATAGTCTTGGAGGTCCCTGGTTATCTTTGCTGTGACTTAAACTGTTACAATATGAAACTAAATATTTCTCAATGTATACATTGTAGTTGACACTTGAACAACATGGATTTGACCTGAACAGGCACACTGATGTGTGGGGTTTTTTCAATCAATATATTGGAAAATTCTTTGGAGATTTTTAACAATTTGGAAAAACATTTTCTCTTCTCTGGCTTACTTTTATTGTAAGAATAGTTTATAATACATACACAAAATATGTATTAACTAACTTTATGTAATCAGTGAGACTTGTGGTCAACAGTATGCTATTAATACAAGTTTTGGGGGAGTCAAAAGTTGTACATAGGTTTTCTACTGCACAGGGGGTCAGAATCCCTAACTCCCTTGTTGTTCAAGGGTCAGCTGTAATGTGCTTTCAGATATGGGTAGATCTTACAAGATTAGAGGGAGATTCTTGGTGCAAATGTTTTTTAGACCACAAAAAATGGTTCCTGGAATGTAAAAATGTTGCCTCATTATAGATGCTCAGAATTTGAAGAAATCCCTGGTTATCTTTGCTGTGATAACAATCAACTAGTTATCACCAAGTACATGAATCATCTTTACAATAACTCAATGACTAAGATATTTGGAAAGTTTCTCTCCTTTCTACTAAGGATATGATAACCTGTTCTCCAGTGTTTTCTGTTTCTGCCTCAGTATCTTGGTGTTTTTGTTCTGGATGCTGTAACGTCCTTGTTTTATTTTTGTCTCTTTCATTTTTTTCTCTACACCTTTGTCTTCCCCTCTCCATTAATTAACAAATGTGAAATAGAATTAAATGTGTTTTTTTTTTATTCTTCTTCTAAAGAGGTACAAGCTATTCCTTTTCTTTCAAAGTAAGACTATTAAGTAGAGTCCCTTTGTTGCCATAGGTGGGGTTAACTTCTGAGATTTGCTTCAGATTTATGGATTTAAAGTATTCTTAAATAGCAATATCAGTTATATGTCAGTGGTTAAAGTTTTGTGTTGTATTGGAGATGTATATTTAGTGACTTTCATTTTCTAGTCACTATGAAATACTAGAATGATCTTATTAACTGTAGAAAGATCTCAGATAAATATAAGCAAAAAAGATTTTTTTCCAGGAATTGAAGCTGAATAGTTTAAGGTCTTATAGTTAATTTTGTAGGTGTGTATATGTTTAAACATATTCACAAATTAGGAGTTAATGTAGAGCATATGGAAGATAGACCTTTTCATCTAGACTGTCTAGGGGTAGACTTTTGGCAGTATGGTTGCCATCTCTAGTGTTTTGATTTACTGAAACAACTATCTATATATGCCTTCAGATACATAAAATGCGGTTTGGGATACTGTTAGAATAATAGCTGGAAACTTAATCTCGTATGACTTGGCAAGAATATAAATTTTAACATGAGCCAAATCCATTGTATTAGAGACTGGAACCAAAATAGAGAATAATGACTTTTTTTTTTTGGAATGTGAATTATTTTGCCTCCTATCTGAGTAAGACCACCCTTAAGACTACTAAAAAGGACTAGTGGGAAAAAGTACCTAAAGCTTCAATGATTGAGGAATTAAATTGGAATATACAATCTTTCTGGCAGATGACATAGAACCATACGTTTAGACCCATGTTCGAGGGAAGGATTCTGCCATTTAGAGAGTATGTACCTGGCTCACTTATGCTGAGCTCCATAGCCAAGGCATTTCTTGAAGTAATTTTCTTAAACCGAGTTTCCTGGAGGGGACAGTGATAGAACAGCAATAGGTCGAGGCATAGATTGGGCCAACCTGAAAAGGAAAGGCTAAGCTACACACTTCACTGCAGAGCCCCTCACCCTAAATTTGTTTGTCATTTTTTGGAGTAGTATGAAAATGAAATATCAAAAGTAAATAGAATTTGACTACCATTTGCAGAGTGCCCACATGTACTCATCCTCTTAAGAACCTACCAAATATAGGTGAGGAAATGGGGGCTCAGAAATTAAGTATCTTCTGTAAATGCAATCAGTTAGCTATTAGGTAACATAGATGACTTATTCCCAGATCTAGCAATACAAAATGAAATAATAAAAGGCTGAATAAAAAATTTTGCTTCAGAAGTTCAACCAAGTCTTTGGGCAAGCTTGGGCAGCCACGATCTCAGTTTATGAGATCATTTAAGTTTAGGTTGCTAGATTAAGTTTCCATGTCTCCTGTTTGCACATGTTCTTTATGAGGTTCAGGTACCCTAGAGTGATTTCATTTGCATTCTCTTACTCTGGTAGACCCACCTCTGCTAAGTAGATGTTTGGTATCAGCCATTTAATAAAAAGTTCTCCCTCTGAGACCCTTTTATTTTGTGTAATAATGGCTGTCCTTCCTACCCCTACCATCCAGACAGTTGCATGATCAAAGCAAAATCATGACTACATTTAACTAAGCCAGACTATAAATGACAATCTTAACTTACCTCCAGATGCGATCATTGTTTTATGCACTGATTTTTAGTCTTCTGTTACTATCACTGTTGTTCTGTGCTATGCTTTACACTTTTAAGGCCTTCATGAGTGAGTTAGTGCTTATTTTTGTTTCATTTCATTCTTAGCACAGCCTTCCATACAACTAGGAACAAAATAAATCCTTAGGATGACATTGGATTTTTTTAGCCTGAAATTTATGATTTATTTAATTTTATTTCTTTTGAATACCTTAACATTTAATGAGAGTGCTGGATTGTTTTAATTTGCAGCTGTACAAAATGATTCTTTTTCATGGGGCATTTTTGTCCAGATAAAGAAAATTGAATAATCTTAACACACAACTCTTAAAGAGATAATTTGATAATATGACATGAAGTTCTGTGTGTAATTCTTGGTACATTTATATCTGCTTCATTATTAGTTAGGTGAAAACTGTGCCATTCCTGCTATACATAACTGACTTGCTCTTCAATTTTGTCACTTTGATCATTTTCAGTGAGGAGAAGTGTGTCTAGTAGAATGATTGATGAAGATTGAATCGTTGAACTTCAGAGCCTCATTGGGCTCTGATACATGGCAGGATTAATTCCATTTCGAATTCCATGTTTCATGAAAAACTTAGAGTTCTCTGCCATTGGGTTCCGGAAGTAGATACTTCTGGAGCATTTTCTGAGAGTTTTTACTGATTTTGTGGCCCGGTAATTGCAGGTGATGTATCGGCCAAATGCAGCCCGAAATGTCTTGTTAAAGAGGGTGTAGACCAAAGGATTCACCCCTGAGGAAACATAGCCTATCCACACAAATATCTCCAGGAGCATTTTGAGAGTAGTCTGGTTACAGGAATCACATAAAACTGAAGTTATATTTGTAATAAAAAAGGGGCACCACATAAGCAAAAAGAGGAAAAACACAATCCCTAGAACCTTTGAGGCTCTCTGTTCATTGGAAATGGTCTGCACTGACTTTTTTCCAACTGTGGACATTCTTCGCATAAGTATGTCATCACTTGAGTTGGACAGAGTTTTGTCTTTGTGAGAACCACCCAACATTGCCACTTTTTCAGGTGAAGAGCAAGGTGTTTTATCCCTTTGGAAAACTGTGGATACAGTCAGCCATGTTAGGCGTTGAGGTGGCTTATTTTTGATTAAGTAAGCTTTCTTCTGTAAAGCATGGATAGTGAGAAAGTAGGTGACAATCATGATTACTAGAGGTATAAAGAAGGAAGCCAGTGAGCCAAAGAGCATGAAATTGCTGAAACGATCCTTTGTCAGCCCACAAGTGATGTTGTTTGGGTTACTCACATCAGCTTCTATCCCTTTAATAGGGACTGGGATGGCAATGCCTAAGGAAGAGAAAACAGGATAAAATGAGTTAATCTATGACCTTTGACCCTTAGATTATAGTCTTAGAGTTTATCTTAGAGTCTAGAGTTTATGTTAGTTACTTAGAGTTATTTAGTGACTTAGTAACCCAGTGTATTGTGATTTCTGGTATTCTCAATGCAGAATCCGTCAAAGTACTTATCAATGGAAGATTTGACAAGTAGAACCAAGTAAGAAACGTGTTTTTAAATAGATTGGTTAGTGATTTCAGGTTTATAATTAAAGCTTCCCTACAGCTGTATTTGTTCTTCATTTCTCATAATTATTTTTGTTCATCTACCCCAGGTTAAGGAAAAGGAATTCAGAAAAGAAGCTGCTTTTATCTTAATATCAATGTAGTTTAATCTAAAGAAACTTCAGAGTACACTCATGCAATATCTTGATTCTGAATACATATCTGTTTTATTATCTTTGAGATTATATTAACATTTGTGAATGTCTTTTCCTTGTGACTTCAAGATCGAGGGTTCCTTTAATAGATATGAAAGGAAGATAATCTCATTTTAATTTTCTAATGCTTTACATACCATGAAGTAGGTATTTAAATATTATCTTGTGTAGTGAAGTAGCTTATTAGAAAATCAGATACACAAGGGTTAGTCTGAATCCTTTCCCTTTGAAACAGCAAATACTTAAAAGTAAGTCTGAATTGATCTTTACACACCTCTAGAATCATTGTATTGTTTTATGAATCTTAAAGTACTCCATTATGTACACAGCCTTTTTATGGTAACTATTGAGCCCTTGACAAGAATGTTTTCCTTAAACCTCTCTAGTGGAGGTCACTGCTTTTTCTACTTCTCTTCAAGTACAAGGTCAGAAAGTGGATTCTGTATACTTAGTGTTCTACATTAAGGGTTAGCCAACCACAGCTGAAGGGCCAAATCTGACCTACCCTCTGTTTTTGTAAATAGAACACAGCCATTCCCATTCATTAATGTATTGTTTATGACTACTTTTGGACTATTGCAGCGGAGTTGAGTAGTTGTAATAGAAGACACATAGACTGCAAGCCCCAAATATTTACTATCTTGCCCTTTGCAGAAAAAGTTAGTGGACTGACCCTTGTTACTTCCAGGTAATAATTTCCCTGTTCTTTCCTCCCAAACACTTCGTTTTGAAGTCTATTTAATCCATTTATAGCACTTTAATCTCCGTCCAGGTCATCTGCAACCTCCAGGACACTTGTCCTTCTTCCTCAGTGGTATCAGCACCTTGAAGTGGTCTTCATCTCCACTGCTCCATTGCTATCATCTTCCATGACTTTATCCCATTGATGGTCCTTCTAATACCTTAATTTTATATTTCTTGAACTCCTTAACTTATATTATTATTATAACTTAAAGCATCCATAAGTTCATTTAAAACTATCCCATATCTAAAATCATGAACTCTTGGTTTTTCCCTTTCTTGTCTTAAGACCACTAGTCCATCCTTCCTTCTCTATTTCCAGATTCCGCTAACCACCATCAAGGCTCACATTACCTTCTCAACCAGCTTGTTGGTCCATAACATTTAAGTTTTCACTGATGCTTTTTATACCCTTACCCTCTTATTCTCCTTTCAGACCTTACTGTTGCCAGGTGTTACCTAGTATATAACCATAAATCCAGAAGAAGAACGTGAACTCTTTTTAACACTTTGAGGAATGAAAAAACTGTACTAACCCCATCATCTGCTTTTCCATTTATAAAATTACTGAATTGTCACTGATTCTGTAAGACAGTGTGATGAAATGAAAAGAGCATTGATTTTGGCTTGATTCTGAAAAGTTGTAATAGTCTTTAAGCCAAGTATTTTAAATCTTTAGGTTTCTTTTCTCATCTATAAAAGGAAAAAGTAGATTTATAAGATCCCTTCCAAAGCTCTAAATCGGGGATCTTTTAATTCTTTTCCTCCTGCATACTTAACATTCTATATTAGTCTAATTTGTGTACATATCTGCCGTCCTTGAATGTAAAGATTCTTTTTCTTATTCATCTTTGTAGTAGTACCTAGCACATTATAGGTACTCAGTAAAAATTTGATCAATTTATAATTCATGTTATCCATGAGGTACCACTTAGAGAGGCTGTTTGTTTGTTTGTTGACTTCATTGTATTTCACAGTCTCAAATGTTTTAATTCTTAGGGATTCATTTTTCCTATTTCCTCCCAGCCTTTGCTCTACTCCCCCTACCCTAGCCCAATATGCACACCTCATACTGTCCCCTTTTCTCTCCTTCATTGCCGTGAGCTTACCAAAAAAATGTGTGTCATTTGCCCTGAATTACTTTAGTTTTACCCCTCTCCACTTTAAATTTTGGTAATTGTCACCCATTATTGCCCATGCCCTTTCCTTGGCTTCCTTTTTTGGGGGGCCTCTTATGCTCTTGTCAGTCAGCCTTTGCCCCCAAACTAGCCTTTTCTCACTGCTTGCAGTTATCTCCATTCTGAATAGACTTTTTCTTGACCCTTATTTCTTCCCAAGCTAGAATAATAACATTCCTTACTTTTGTCTCCATACTTTGCCCTGGTATCATTATTTCAGGAATATTAAGGTCAATTTCAGTGTCTTGCTTTCCTGCTTTTTTGTCCTAGTGGTCTTATACTGATTAGAGAGAAGTCAACATATTTTTCTTGCTTCCTTTTTAGCATTCCAGGTCTCTCTTGATTTTCTCCTCTTTGAATTTTTTTTACTAGGAAGAAGTGAATCTGCTGGTCAGATTTTTAATGATCATAGTAATTGTAATTGTTTTTCTGATATTAACTTTATGAGTGGTTTGAGTTATTTATTTTGTACTTCATGCTAAGATTATAATAGCAGCTATCTTTGAGCATTAAAGATGGCACAGGGGCATAAAACAGAACTATGATTTCTACCAATCATTTCTGAACATCATTTGCATCTCTCTAAAATCTTCTGATTAAACATATTCAAAACACATTTCCTGCCTTTAGTCTGTACATATGACTTCCAAGATGAATTTATGATCTTTGAGACCTGCATTCAAAATGTTTAGTTTGCTTTTTCCTTTTTTCTCCTTTCCTCTTTATCTTCTCAGGTGTGATTTAAGATGCATTTCAGTTTTTGTTACTTTAGTATAATTTCAGGATTCTGCATGATACCTACCATAATGGTCTGTTGCCAAATATGAAAACTGCTTCCAGACTTAGTTTTCCTGCATGTCAAAATCAAAGTAGAATGATATCTCAGTGAATACTGGAAAGATAGTTCTTTCTGAGGACATGTGCTTCTGCATTTTCACACTTTTAGCTGACAGTATGGTTTAGAAGCTATGTGATGAATGTAATGGCATAAGGAGCTTGTGTTGATCTGTCCATAGGCTGCCTTGACCTCTCATGCTGAGTTTCACAGCCTACCAAGACCTTGTATTTTCCTAGTTAAGTGGAACCAAAACCTGTATATAGCACCCCACACCCTGACATTCCCCACATACCTATTGAAATTAACCACACCACTGTAATCTTGATGAGTGCTGTAGCTCTTGAGTTGTATTGATTAGCCTGGATTGGCTTTTTAATGGCAATGTAACGATCCACTGAAATGGCACAGAGATGCATGATGGATGCAGTAGAAAAAAGAACATCAAGAAATAACCAGGCAGGACATAGAACAGGTGGGAGGGGCCACATAGCCTCTGGAAGAAAGAAAAACAAACAAAAACATATTCTGCAAAATGGCAATCTTCAATCTGCTCTTTCTTTTTAAAGTAATACATATTTTTTAACCTATTTAATCATTCATCTGAAATATTATGGCTTAACCTCCATAAGATAATGTTTAACTTCAGATAATGGAGTCAGTAATATCAAATATATTTCTGTAGGTGATACCTTTTAAATACATCTTCTGTTTTGTGTAATAATTACAATCCTTTATCTAAATCAGCAGCTTAACATTTTTAGCATTTTGACCTTTGCTCTTTTGTCTGTTCCTTTTGTGATCTTGTAAAAATTTACACAGGTTGCAACTGAACTTCGTTATTCAAATAAAATTTATTTTTAAGCTGCTAGTGCATAAAAAAGAGAAAACACACTATAATGTGGCAAAAAGAGTGTTCAAATAGGAGTCTGATGAGGCCTGGAATTTTGGCTTTCTTCTAGCAGCATGATCCTTGTCGATAGCAAACCCTCACTTGGAGATAAGTGGAATGATGTGGGGGGATATTTGACAGAAATAGTTCTTGAATAAAGTTTGTGAAAGGAATGACATCAATTATTCTGAGGAGAAGTGGGTTATTATCCTATTTTCCTTCATTTATTCTAGGCACTAGAAATATAATTAAGCAATATAGACTTTGGTTTAAAAAGATACTTCAGGATTTAGACATAGTACTTTATTTAACAAATCTGTATGAAATAGCACTTACTATATATGTCATACAGTCTTAACACACTTTAGAAATATTAACTTTTCTTAAATTTCAGATTGATACTGAGTATTCTACATAGTTTTACAGAAAGTTAACTTCAGACAAATATCTACACTTAACGTGGTTTTGATACATTATGCACTATACATACATCTGCTATCTACACATTTGTAGTTTCAAAAAAGCTTAAATTTGTTTTAGGGTTCACCCTAGAATATTTCAGTTACAGTCCATTTTACCAAAACACGCACATGCACACACACACACATTTTAGACCTTGCTATAAACGCAAATTACATGAAACAAATGGTATACATAGGAGCTATCAAAATCCCTTTTGTGGTTTAATTGTTTTATGTCCATTGACAAAATGCAAACCTCTTTTCTTGTCTTTTTTTCCAAGTACATATGACTTTGAGAGGTATAAAATGATTAGAATAATTGAAGGTGGACCAAGATAACCATCTCAGGATTTCAGAGCACCAAGAGACCCTTCAGTTGTTAACTGTCTAAATTCAAGAAGCCTGGGGGCAGAGAGGTTAGCATCCCAAACCAAAAAAAAAAAAAACTGTTAATTAGGGAGAGAGTTTTAGAAAGACTTGAATTTTTAAGAGTAAAGTAGGATTTCAATGAAAAATATTTGTATATTTCATTTAAAAAGGCTGACAAATCCACTTTTTGGTATCTTCTGTTTCCAGAGTTGGTGTGTATCATTCTTAAACAAAATATTAAATTATTTCTTCATAGGAACAAAATCAGTATGAATTTTATTCATAAGGGATAAATGTTGCTTGGCACTTGAGTCTGTATTCAGCAACTTCTTAAAAAAGGATTAAAGCATCAGGTAGGAGTAATTCATACTATTAAGAAAATTAATCAAACTTTTCCTACGTCACTGAATTGGGGGTGGAAGGTGAGGATTAAGGAATGGAGATGATAAATTACAGAGTCATTGAGCTAGAAGGGACCTTAAATATTACATCACTGATTTTTGCAGGTGAGTAAATTCAGGTACAATTAAGTCTTTGAATATGAGAGGGAGCATTTATTTATTAAAACTTCAGTGTAAATTGAAAGTGTTCCTTAGAACCTTGCTACTCGAAGTGTGCTCCTTTAGATCAGCACACTTGTTAGAACTGCAGGCTCTTGGGCCTCATTGCAGATCAGTGAGTCAGACTACAGTTTCACAGGGAATCTGGCCTTATGTATGCAAATTAATGTTTGAGAAGCACTGCTTTAGAAGACTGGGAAAGGTTGTGTCTTGAATCTTAAAAGATGCACCTACATTCTCTGTTATCAGATAAGCAACTCAGAATGCCTTATAGAAAAGAACTTACGGGAGACCTCTCAAAATAAACGAATGAATAAAGCATGGCAGAGAAATCTGTGGTTAGAAACAATCTAATGAATTAGACTTTCTTCCTCTTAGTCATAGTATTCAGATTTTCTGGTAATTAGTGGAAAAGGATCTTGGACAGTCAAAAGCAGCGATGTATTCTTTAATGATTTATTTAATTTTATTTCTTTTGAATACCTTAACATTTAATGAGAGTGCTGGATTGTTTTAATTTGCAGCTGTACAAAATGATTCTTTTTCATGGGGCATTTTTGTCCAGATAAAGAAAATTGAATAATCTTAACACACAACTCTTAAAGAGATAATTTGATAATATGACATGAAGTTCTGTGTGTAATTCTTGGTACATTTATATCTGCTTCATTATTAGTTAGGTGAAAACTGTGCCATTCCTGCTATACATAACTGACTTGCTCTTCAATTTTGTCACTTTGATCATTTTCAGTGAGGAGAAGTGTGTCTAGTAGAATGATTGATGAAGATTGAATCGTTGAACTTCAGAGCCTCATTGGGCTCTGATACATGGCAGGATTAATCCCATTTCGAATTCCATGTTTCATGAAAAACTTAGAGTTCTCTGCCATTGGGTTCCGGAAGTAGATACTTCTGGAGCATTTTCTGAGAGTTTTTACTGATTTTGTGGCCCGGTAATTGCAGGTGATGTATCGGCCAAATGCAGCCCGAAATGTCTTGTTAAAGAGGGTGTAGACCAAAGGATTCACCCCTGAGGAAACATAGCCTATCCACACAAATATCTCCAGGAGCATTTTGAGAGTAGTCTGGTTACAGGAATCACATAAAACTGAAGTTATATTTGTAATAAAAAAGGGGCACCACATAAGCAAAAAGAGGAAAAACACAATCCCTAGAACCTTTGAGGCTCTCTGTTCATTGGAAATGGTCTGCACTGACTTTTTTCCAACTGTGGACATTCTTCGCATAAGTATGTCATCACTTGAGTTGGACAGAGTTTTGTCCTTGTGAGAACCACCCAACATTGCCACTTTTTCAGGTGAAGAGCAAGGGGTTTTATCCCTTTGGAAAACTGTGGATACAGTCAGCCATGTTAGGCGTTGAGGTGGCTTATTTTTGATTAAGTAAGCTTTCTTCTGTAAAGCATGGATAGTGAGAAAGTAGGTGACAATCATGATTACTAGAGGTATAAAGAAGGAAGCCAGTGAGCCAAAGAGCATGAAATTGCTGAAACGATCCTTTGTCAGCCCACAAGTGATGTTGTTTGGGTTACTCACATCAGCTTCTATCCCTTTAATAGGGACTGGGATGGCAATGCCTAAGGAAGAGAAAACAGGATAAAATGAGTTAATCTATGACCTTTGACCCTTAGATTATAGTCTTAGAGTTTATCTTAGAGTCTAGAGTTTATGTTAGTTACTTAGAGTTATTTAGTGACTTAGTAACCCAGTGTATTGTGATTTCTGGTATTCTCAATGCAGAATCCGTCAAAGTACTTATCAATGGAAGATTTGACAAGTAGAACCAAGTAAGAAACGTGTTTTTAAATAGATTGGTTAGTGATTTCAGGTTTATAATTAAAGCTTCCCTACAGCTGTATTTGTTCTTCATTTCTCATAATTATTTTTGTTCATCTACCCCAGGTTAAGGAAAAGGAATTCAGAAAAGAAGCTGCTTTTATCTTAATATCAATGTAGTTTAATCTAAAGAAACTTCAGAGTACACTCATGCAATATCTTGATTCTGAATACATATCTGTTTTATTATCTTTGAGATTATATTAACATTTGTGAATGTCTTTTCCTTGTGACTTCAAGATCGAGGGTTCCTTTAATAGATATGAAAGGAAGATAATCTCATTTTAATTTTCTAATGCTTTACATACCATGAAGTAGGTATTTAAATATTATCTTGTGTAGTGAAGTAGCTTATTAGAAAATCAGATACACAAGGGTTAGTCTGAATCCTTTCCCTTTGAAACAGCAAATACTTAAAAGTAAGTCTGAATTGATCTTTACACACCTCTAGAATCATTGTATTGTTTTATGAATCTTAAAGTACTCCATTATGTACACAGCCTTTTTATGGTAACTATTGAGCCCTTGACAAGAATGTTTTCCTTAAACCTCTCTAGTGGAGGTCACTGCTTTTTCTACTTCTCTTCAAGTACAAGGTCAGAAAGTGGATTCTGTATACTTAGTGTTCTACATTAAGGGTTAGCCAACCACAGCTGAAGGGCCAAATCTGACCTACCCTCTGTTTTTGTAAATAGAACACAGCCATTCCCATTCATTAATGTATTGTTTATGACTACTTTTGGACTATTGCAGCGGAGTTGAGTAGTTGTAATAGAAGACACATAGACTGCAAGCCCCAAATATTTACTATCTTGCCCTTTGCAGAAAAAGTTAGTGGACTGACCCTTGTTACTTCCAGGTAATAATTTCCCTGTTCTTTCCTCCCAAACACTTCCGTTTTGAAGTCTATTTAATCCATTTATAGCACTTTAATCTCCGTCCAGGTCATCTGCAACCTCCAGGACACTTGTCCTTCTTCCTCAGTGGTATCAGCACCTTGAAGTGGTCTTCATCTCCACTGCTCCATTGCTATCATCTTCCATGACTTTATCCCATTGATGGTCCTTCTAATACCTTAATTTTATATTTCTTGAACTCCTTAACTTATATTATTATTATAACTTAAAGCATCCATAAGTTCATTTAAAACTATCCCATATCTAAAATCATGAACTCTTGGTTTTTCCCTTTCTTGTCTTAAGACCACTAGTCCATCCTTCCTTCTCTATTTCCAGATTCCGCTAACCACCATCAAGGCTCACATTACCTTCTCAACCAGCTTGTTGGTCCATAACATTTAAGTTTTCACTGATGCTTTTTATACCCTTACCCTCTTATTCTCCTTTCAGACCTTACTGTTGCCAGGTGTTACCTAGTATATAACCATAAATCCAGAAGAAGAACGTGAACTCTTTTTAACACTTTGAGGAATGAAAAAACTGTACTAACCCCATCATCTGCTTTTCCATTTATAAAATTACTGAATTGTCACTGATTCTGTAAGACAGTGTGATGAAATGAAAAGAGCATTGATTTTGGCTTGATTCTGAAAAGTTGTAATAGTCTTTAAGCCAAGTATTTTAAATCTTTAGGTTTCTTTTCTCATCTATAAAAGGAAAAAGTAGATTTATAAGATCCCTTCCAAAGCTCTAAATCGGGGATCTTTTAATTCTTTTCCTCCTGCATACTTAACATTCTATATTAGTCTAATTTGTTTACATATCTGCCGTCCTTGAATGTAAAGATTCTTTTTCTTATTCATCTTTGTAGTAGTACCTAGCACATTATAGGTACTCAGTAAAAATTTGATCAATTTATAATTCATGTTATCCATGAGGTACCACTTAGAGAGGCTGTTTGTTTGTTTGTTGACTTCATTGTATTTCACAGTCTCAAATGTTTTAATTCTTAGGGATTCATTTTTCCTATTTCCTCCCAGCCTTTGCTCTACTCCCCCTACCCTAGCCCAATATGCACACCTCATACTGTCCCCTTTTCTCTCCTTCATTGCCGTGAGCTTACCAAAAAAATGTGTGTCATTTGCCCTGAATTACTTTAGTTTTACCCCTCTCCACTTTAAATTTTGGTAATTGTCACCCATTATTGCCCATGCCCTTTCCTTGGCTTCCTTTTTTGGGGGGCCTCTTATGCTCTTGTCAGTCAGCCTTTGCCCCCAAACTAGCCTTTTCTCACTGCTTGCAGTTATCTCCATTCTGAATAGACTTTTTCTTGACCCTTATTTCTTCCCAAGCTAGAATAATAACATTCCTTACTTTTGTCTCCATACTTTGCCCTGGTATCATTATTTCAGGAATATTAAGGTCAATTTCAGTGTCTTGCTTTCCTGCTTTTTTGTCCTAGTGGTCTTACACTGATTAGAGAGAAGTCAACATATTTTTCTTGCTTCCTTTTTAGCATTCCAGGTCTCTCTTGATTTTCTCCTCTTTGAATTTTTTTTACTAGGAAGAAGTGAATCTGCTGGTCAGATTTTTAATGATCATAGTAATTGTAATTGTTTTTCTGATATTAACTTTATGAGTGGTTTGAGTTATTTATTTTGTACTTCATGCTAAGATTATAATAGCAGCTATCTTTGAGCATTAAAGATGGCACAGGGGCATAAAACAGAACTATGATTTCTACCAATCATTTCTGAACATCATTTGCATCTCTCTAAAATCTTCTGATTAAACATATTCAAAACACATTTCCTGCCTTTAGTCTGTACATATGACTTCCAAGATGAATTTATGATCTTTGAGACCTGCATACAAAATGTTTAGTTTGCTTTTTCCTTTTTTCTCCTTTCCTCTTTATCTTCTCAGGTGTGATTTAAGATGCATTTCAGTTTTTGTTACTTTAGTATAATTTCAGGATTCTGCATGATACCTACCATAATGGTCTGTTGCCAAATATGAAAACTGCTTCCAGACTTAGTTTTCCTGCATGTCAAAATCAAAGTAGAATGATATCTCAGTGAATACTGGAAAGATAGTTCTTTCTGAGGACATGTGCTTCTGCATTTTCACACTTTTAGCTGACAGTATGGTTTAGAAGCTATGTGATGAATGTAATGGCATAAGGAGCTTGTGTTGATCTGTCCATAGGCTGCCTTGACCTCTCATGCTGAGTTTCACAGCCTACCAAGACCTTGTATTTTCCTAGTTAAGTGGAACCAAAACCTGTATATAGCACCCCACACCCTGACATTCCCCACATACCTATTGAAATTAACCACACCACTGTAATCTTGATGAGTGCTGTAGCTCTTGAGTTGTATTGATTAGCCTGGATTGGCTTTTTAATGGCAATGTAACGATCCACTGAAATGGCACAGAGATGCATGATGGATGCAGTAGAAAAAAGAACATCAAGAAATAACCAGGCAGGACATAGAACAGGTGGGAGGGGCCACATAGCCTCTGGAAGAAAGAAAAACAAACAAAAACATATTCTGCAAAATGGCAATCTTCAATCTGCTCTTTCTTTTTAAAGTAATACATATTTTTTAACCTATTTAATCATTCATCTGAAATATTACGGCTTAACCTCCATAAGATAATGTTTAACTTCAGATAATGGAGTCAGTAATATCAAATATATTTCTGTAGGTGATACCTTTTAAATACATCTTCTGTTTTGTGTAATAATTACAATCCTTTATCTAAATCAGCAGCTTAACATTTTTAGCATTTTGACCTTTGCTCTTTTGTCTGTTCCTTTTGTGATCTTGTAAAAATTTACACAGGTTGCAACTGAACTTCGTTATTCAAATAAAATTTATTTTTAAGCTGCTAGTGCATAAAAAAGAGAAAACACACTATAATGTGGCAAAAAGAGTGTTCAAATAGGAGTCTGATGAGGCCTGGAATTTTGGCTTTCTTCTAGCAGCATGATCCTTGTCGATAGCAAACCCTCACTTGGAGATAAGTGGAATGATGTGGGGGGATATTTGACATAAATAGTTCTTGAATAAAGTTTGTGAAAGGAATGACATCAATTATTCTGAGGAGAAGTGGGTTATTATCCTATTTTCCTTCATTTATTCTAGGCACTAGAAATATAATTAAGCAATATAGACTTTGGCTTAAAAAGATACTTCAGGATTTAGACATAGTACTTTATTTAACAAATCTGTATGAAATAGCACTTATTATATATGTCATACAGTCTTAACACACTTTAGAAATATTAACTTTTCTTAAATTTCAGATTGATACTGAGTATTCTACATAGTTTTACAGAAAGTTAACTTCAGACAAATATCTACACTTAACGTGGTTTTGATACATTATGCACTATACATACATCTGCTATCTACACATTTGTAGTTTCAAAAAAGCTTAAATTTGTTTTAGGGTTCACCCTAGAATATTTCAGTTACAGTCCATTTTACCAAAACACGCACATGCACACACACACACATTTTAGACCTTGCTATAAACGCAAATTACATGAAACAAATGGTATACATAGGAGCTATCGAAATCCCTTTTGTGGTTTAATTGTTTTATGTCCATTGACAAAATGCAAACCTCTTTTCTTGTCTTTTTTCTTTCTTACATATGACTTTGAGAGGTATAAAATGATTAGAATAATTGAAGGTGGACCAAGATAACCATCTCAGGATTTCAGAGCACCAAGAGACCCTTCAGTTGTTAACTGTCTAAATTCAAGAAGCCTGGGGGCAGAGAGGTTAGCATCCCAAACCAAAAAAAAAAAAAACTGTTATTTAGGGAGAGAGTTTTAGAAAGACTTGAATTTTTAAGAGTAAAGTAGGATTTCAATGAAAAATATTTGTATATTTCATTTAAAAAGGCTGACAAATCCACTTTTTGGTATCTTCTGTTTCCAGAGTTGGTGTGTATCATTCTTAAACAAAATATTAAATTATTTCTTCATAGGAACAAAATCAGTATGAATTTTATTCATAAGGGATAAATGTTGCTTGGCACTTGAGTCTGTATTCAGCAACTTCTTAAAAAAGGATTAAAGCATCAGGTAGGAGTAATTCATACTATTAAGAAAATTAATCAAACTTTTCCTACGTCACTGAATTGGGGGTGGAAGGTGAGGATTAAGGAATGGAGATGATAAATTACAGAGTCATTGAGCTAGAAGGGACCTTAAATATTACATCACTGATTTTTGCAGGTGAGTAAATTCAGGTACAATTAAGTCTTTGAATATGAGAGGGAGCATTTATTTATTAAAACTTCAGTGTAAATTGAAAGTGTTCCTTAGAACCTTGCTACTCGAAGTGTGCTCCTTTAGATCAGCACACTTGTTAGAACTGCAGGCTCTTGGGCCTCATTGCAGATCAGTGAGTCAGACTACAGTTTCACAGGGAATCTGGCCTTATGTATGCAAATTAATGTTTGAGAAGCACTGCTTTAGAAGACTGGGAAAGGTTGTGTCTTGAATCTTAAAAGATGCACCTACATTCTCTGTTATCAGATAAGCAACTCAGAATGCCTTATAGAAAAGAACTTACGGGAGACCTCTCAAAATAAAGGAATGAATAAAGCATGGCAGAGAAATCTGTGGTTAGAAACAATCTAATGAATTAGACTTTCTTCCTCTTAGTCATAGTATTCAGATTTTCTGGTAATTAGTGGAAAAGGATCTTGGACAGTCAAAAGCAGCGATGTATTCTTTGATCTGATCTTAAGCAAACTAACAATTTAAATAGAGTTAAAAGAATCACTTATGTTTAACTGTTAACAGTGGAAAATACTTGAAAGTGAGGCTTCATTCTGAACTGTCCTGAATCAAAAGGTTAGGACTGAGTAGAAAGTAGAAAAGTACTCAAATCTAGAGCTACAACCAGATGTTGATCATAGTTAAAGATTTTAAAAGGCAAATAATTCATGTCTTATATCTTAGATTTCCTTTCTTTAAATGCATGCCATCATCTTTAAAATGGGTTGTTAATCATTTAAACTTGTCTCTTCTAATTATGGTTTGCATTTTTAAAAATTAAGGTTCGGAAAATTCTAGTCATAAATCTAGTTATCCGTGAGCAGGAAGTCACAACAGAACTCTCCTATAAAAAGTACATGTCTTTGGAATTAGACTCTCTGATCCACATACTCCTAATTATGGGCTAAAAGGAAAGCTCTGATTTAATTAAGCCTATGAAGTTTTGTTTTAGCCTTGCTTTTCAATAGAATGAATGTGTTTTATAAACTCCAGTTTTAGAACAAAGTGGGTATTAATGCAGGTCGCTATTATTATTTGAGTCAGCGCTTTCTTATTGTTAACAGTAGAAATATTGAGACATGGTAGAATTTTCTTAAGAAAAAAGTACATTATAAGGTTTCAGGTTAAGAAAGATAGGACTTTATGATTCAAGTTTCCTGAAATACTAACAAATTGACTTTTTTTTTTTAAACTAACAGAAGTAATGAACGACTGCGTTAAATTAATAGAAATCTTTTATACAAAACAAAAAGAAGAAAAGGTGTAACTGCCTAAGTAGATTCAGGTAATCTAAGAATTTATACAAATTAAAAACAATTCTTGACATTCAAGGGACCTTTCCGAGTTCAAGTAGTTTTCATCTTGAAATTGTTTTCTTCAGTTAGTATTAAATTGATAAGCTGAAGATCAGAAAAGTTTCTTACTATTCAGAATAGCTGAAGGAGGTTAAGCTGTTACAGTGAGTTAGGTTAACTATTTTAAAACTGTTATTTTATTAGGAGTTTTAATTTGTTTTAAGAATTTATAAGTTCATTTATGTGTTGTTGTATGTTATGTCCAGCTTATTTCCCTTAGAACTTAATTTATTATTTAAAATGGAAGCTATAGATTTATAAAAAGAAAGAGGAAAATGTATCTAAAAGTCAATTTAAGGGAAATTATCAGGTATTTGAACTAAACTAATTACTGCTGCTTGGGGGTCTCAAAATTTAACTTTTTCATAAAACCTAAGACAGGAGGTGGAAAATTTTAAGTTATGTAGTGTTTGTTGTCCCACAAAAAGAAAAAAAACATAATTTATCTGAAAACACAAGTCCCATTTTTTACCTATTTCCTCTATCTACTTCCAAATTTCTCTGAGCACCTAAAATAATTACAGATTGATAATTACATGAGCAAAACAAGATTTAGGTGAGTCTTGGGTTATAGACAGTTTATTATCTAAAAATATTCGCACAAATATTTTGCTGTTTAAAATAAAGACTTGTATGCTTTAAATACCACTATTCCTAAGGGGTGGTAGAATTACCATTCGGTTATGTAAGTTTCTATTTGTCTCCCAGACAAGGTTCAACAACTTAATAGGAAATGGGCCTCAGATAATATCTTCCTCAGAAAAGAGGTCTGGCAATTGTCTCAAGTATTGACATAAGTATTGGTTAAGACCCAAATAATTCTGTATCGTTTAATATAAAATATAACTTAAAAAATGCTGGATTCTGCCTTGCCCTTAGAGAAAAAAAATCTATGGTCATCTTGTTAGAGTTATTTAATATGTAAATGTTGGCTATTTGCCAAATATGATAGTTTGGGTTGATAAAATTTCTTATTTCATTTGAGAAAGCAGAGTAATAAAGATTCAAGAGTGTGAATTCTAGAGTCATTTCTTCTGGGTTCAAATTATGTCTCTGCCATTTATTTATTACTGTATCCTCTCTTGTAAAATGGGGATGATACTACTACCAATTTTATAGGGTTCCCTTGAGTGTTATGCATGAAAAGTATTTATAACAATATATAGCATAGTGAAAACATTCAATAAATGTTAGTTCTTAATTACTATTATTGTTTGACAGAAACTAACCAACTAGCCCAGCCATTAAAACACTCTTACTTAGGAACAATAAGCCATTATCATCAGTGTAAAATAAATTTGTCTTCCTTCCTGCTGTACCAAGAATGCATGCATCCAGTTGAACTTAAAGCTGTACTTCAAAGAAAAAAAGGCATGAAAACATGTTTAACTGTTTAACTTTTAATTAAATTTGACATGAAAGTATGCCTTCTACTAAAGTTGAAATTTATTTTATGTATATGTGGCAAAGAAATGTAAATAACTTATGTGCGTTGCCATGCCTAGTTGTTTGGGTTTTTTGTGTTTTTTGCATTCTTAACTGGTACAAAATTCTGAGTTTTTTTTTTGTCACCAGAAACTCTGTTTCTTAATGAGATAGACTCATTTTACCTGAAAGCTGCTTTACCTTCAGGCAGTTTTTTAGTTTGAAATCTGAGTTATATCATTAGTTCAGAAAATAATTGACATTATTTATAAGTCTGGGACATAATATATATGCTTTTGAGAATTTGAAAGACGGTACTTTTAAGGACATTCCAAGAGGACTGTGTCTGTAGTTTTCACCAAGGTAAATAGTTCATGAACGTACTGAGGACAAATCCTAAAAGCCCTGACATCCAAAAAGGACACAGTTTTCAAGTACATTTTTTTTTAGTTAAGTACAATAAATTGCAGAAATCCTAATGTACAGTTTGATGAATTTTGACCTATGTATATGAATACACACTTTTTTAATCTCAGAGATTCTTATATATATTTTTTTATCTTCCAGAAGAGAGACATAGATCAGTGCCTAAATTTTTATTACGGAGCTTTTGTTTTGTTTTTGTTGTTATTTTCCCACTACATTTGAGCATATGAAGTATGCTTGGATTAGATGTCTAATAGGATAGTGTTTTAATGTTTCAGTTGACTTAATACTTATAAAATTTTTGTTGGTTTTTAAAATTTCCACTTTCCCAAAAGAAGTGCCTTTAATTGCCTTGCTCCCTCATTTAAGAATTGGTAGGGCAGCATTTCACTCTATAAATGAGTACCTGATATTTTCTTTTACTGCCATGTATCTATTTCATTTCTGGTCAGACTCATATCTAAACTAAATCACATATTTCAGTGTATAAACCCTTTGCATACTCTACCAATACTTGCCAGTTTTTAGTGCTGGGCCCTACTTGACAATTTCACAAGGTATCTATGATGTAAGATTTAGCATACCTATTTTATAGACAAAGAGATCCAACTCTGATAAAAGTGATTTACCTAAGCCAACACAGAAGAACCAGTATTCAAAGCCTGGGGTGTCTTGTGTCATACCCTCATCTTTCAGTTATTTTTTTATGCCCTTTCAGTTGCACTACAAATACTGTTTCATGAGATGTGGATTAAACCTTAAGTTATAAATAAACAAGTAATGACCAGTGGATGATCAAATGCCATGTTCTCTCCCTTTACATTTTTAATCATGTATTTATTTGATGAGATATGGAAAGTTCAGACACGTTCTTAAACTGTGAACATCCTGTCTTACTTATGTTGGCATTTGTTCTAGTTTCCTTTGCATCCCACTCAAGTATTTCTAACATAGGTACTTTTTTTTTTTGGGAGGACATCTCTCATATTT